TCTGATCATGCTCATGAGTACCTATTTTTCAAAATTTTTACTTAAATAATTATTGTTACAACAAATTATGCATAGTTACTAATATCCCTTAAGGCATATAATGAGAAAATATTGAGAGAAATGACAACATAACATCTGTGACATCCTTGTTTATGCTCACTGCTGAGAAACATATATAATTGTGGACTTTATGAGCATGATCATGCATACCAGTTTCAAATTTTATGCTAAGAAAAACATTTTTTCAATCACACACACATTATCTAAAGTGAATCATTGCATCAGATAGCCCCAGAAAAATTCTGTGGTAGAAAATTATGCACAGCTACTATAATTCATTGCTCAAACCACTTTCAAGAGACATATACAGTTGGATTGCTTCAGCCCTTATTTATGTTCGTTTGTTTTTGCTATCATAGTAATAAAATGTCCAAGACCAAAAAGGCCGGTGTGCCCGCATTGTGGGACAAAGAAACCAAAATAATATTTTGTGACATTTGTCTCATCGAAATAGACCTAGGAAATAAACCAACTATATATTTCAACAAGGAGGGGTGACAAAATATTATCAAAAAATTTAAAGGAGAGTACAGACAGAGAGTATGACCAGATATAATTGAAGAACAAATGGGATAAACTCAAGAAGGATTAGAAAATTTGGAAGGAATTGAAACGAGGATCAACGGACTTAGGTTGGAATCGGATAAAGCAAACCATTGATACTAAATAAAGTGGTGTACAGAAAGTCTTGCAGTAAGATTTTTATTTAATATCTTCTAATTCAGTCAATTTCATTTTTATTTACTAGATAAAGTGTATGTTATGATCTTGTAGGTGGTGCCCACTACGATGAAATTTAAACTTTGTGGGCTTGAGCCTGAGTTGGAGGAGAAGTTGGTCCGGATGTTTGAGGGTGTCGTTGCTACAGACAAATATGCATGTGTGCCGAGTGAAATAGGATTTTGTGGCATCTTATAAAGCTTGGCAGTTGACCTATCAGTTGATTCAACCGAAGTACCAAGCCCGGACTTCCATGAAGTTCAGTCAACATGTTGTTCTAAGCATCCGCGGGTAGACAGTCAAAATAAAGGTGGAGCTGCTTACGTAAGAGATTAGATATCACAACCGGTAGCTTCTTCCAACTCTGAACCACATACAGTACAGGAACATTCCATCGAGAAGGTAGTGCAAATTCTGAATGCATAAAGGAAAATTTCTAAGGATTGGTCTCTATACTCATTTTGTGGTAGAGTTGCTTGAAAATCCCACCCGTAGAGATTTCTTCGTGAAGATTCCCCAAGAAAAAATGGTAACGCATCTACGACATTTTTATGATCAGAGGGAAATTCGAAACACTTTTTATTATTTGCTACTCCTTGGGACACATTTATTTCTGTTTTATATTATGCTATGATTTGGTTCTTTGAACTGCTTGGTACTTTGCTGAATAATATTCATAAATCCTATATCAAAACTAATTGGGACATGGTTTGTTTGTAATTTATTAATTATTTTGTTCGGCTAGTAGGATAGACACCTAATGGATTCAGCCAGAGAAAAACAACGAAGAAGAGCTGCAGCAATCTACTTGCTCCACAGATATTGCAACACGTACGTTGATCGCTCTCCATGTTTGGCATCGTCATATATTAGGAACAAATTGGTTGGAGAATTGCTTGTTGGACACCCAACGAGATTCAGCAACATGTTCCGCATGAGATAGAAGATATTTAATGATCTTTTGGTAGAACGTACAAATTTCACGGATTTCATGGGTCATCGAGAACGACTTCACGAGAGGTACTAGTGATAACCCTCTACATATTATCATATAATGAGTCAATGTGATGAACAATGAAACGATTTCAATACTCTACGGAGATGATTAGTAGATACCTCTCGGTTGGTCCGAATGCACTTAACCTTTCTATGGAAGTCGTCAAACCAATGGATCCAACTTTCAAACGGACTTAGGGAAATTTCACGTGATGCACGTTACATGTCGTTCTTTAAAGAACATTTCTAATTCATTGCAGCCGATTTTTAATATTAATAGCTCATTCTTATTTGGGTAGGATTGCATCAGAGCAATTGATGGAACCCACGTTGATGCACGGGTGCCAAATAATGAGATTGCATTAATCGGACGTTGTGATACACCAACGCAGAATGTCATAGTTGTTTGCAACTTCAACATGTATTTCAATTTCATCATGTCAGCCCGTTGGGAGTGTTGTGCGCATGACAGTAGAATTTTCAAGACTGCAACGCAGAATATCTACTATAACTTCCCACATCCTCCTCAAGGCATGCTCATGCCCCAAATACTCAGCTGATTCACTTTAACCTTCAAACTAATTATGCAATAAATTTCAGACAAATAATATTTGGTAGATGTATGAGACATCACATACCAAATTTCGAACGAGCTAGCAATGTTACACGTGGCAGAAAGAAACTGTTTAATAAAAGACATTCGTCCTTACACGGTATCATTGATAGGGACTTTCGGCGTTTGGAAGAAGAAATTGGTTATTCTCAGCGGTATGTCATCTTACTCGTTTCTCAAACAGGTCCAGATTGTGATTTTCACGACGACTTTGCATAATTATATTCAGCAGCATCATTCCCGCAACGGCATTGACTTTTGTAGGGCCGACGAGGATCAGGAGCATATACCTCCGGAAGCATTTGAGTACCACCTAAGGCATTCCTTATCACGAGTTCAGAGTGATCCTTCCATTATCTGCACTAAAGAGGGGGAGGGTGCAAACAAAATGGCTGAGCTAAGGGAGCAAATTACTAATGTGTTAGGAGGCTGATTGGATTATTTGTAATTTATTCAGTACTATGTGTAGTTCATTTCACTTGTCAGAACATTGTTAACAATCATAATAGATAGTGAGCAATCAACGTTATATTTCTTTTATTCAAAGGTATTTGTACTTTAGATTTTATTGTTGGTTCGAAATTTTTACACAATTTGTAAGTGTAATTTGTTAATTATTTTTTTTAGCAAATTCAATTCATGTATTCACTAATGCATTGTATTTTATAGCCATTCAAGAAAGATAAGCTCAAGGATTTCAGGAACATCCAGACGATTGCGGACTACAGACGTCGCGTCAGGCTCATAGCTACGGGAAACAGTTCTACAGCTGTCTGCGGATCATCACAGAGCAATGTGGCTTCTTCCAGTGGGCATACAGTACAGCGGATTTCACTACCAACAGTGATCGGGAATGGATGCAATCACTGGAGGCCAGTGTAGCAAGCAAATGCACCGTCCGCATGTTAAGAAAAATATAATCATTGTATTAATTGTCATTTTAACAGTTTTTGACTTTTTTTGCACTATTGGTATTCATTGTTAAGTGAAGTGTGTATCTAAATTTTTGTATTGTCCAGAGATAAATTTCTGCTTCTGAAGTATCAAAATATGTTAATAACAGTTCTGTTATAAACATTATTACGAAATAATGGCAGAATGGTCATTTACTCAGAAACAGCTGTCGCATAACTGTTTTCAATCAACTGAAACAAACAGCTAGTCAGTTTCTTAGCAGCAACTTCCTAGGGCAACAAAACAGCAGTTGCCCCAAACAGACCCTTAGTCCCTTCTTTAGCAATAAACTAGCATTTTGCTTCAAATGATATGACATTTTTTAAGATTTTTATGCAATGGTTAGCGGCTATTTGCCACATACTTTAGCATCATAACTGTATATAAATAAAGTTATTAAACTTGCTTGATAAATTGACAAATTTGAGCTAATACCTGAGATATCCCACTGCATTCTTGAATTATTTACATCCTCTTCTCTGCCAAGCCGCTTGTACATCCTTATAGTTGTTGTAAATGTTAGGAGGCATACCCAATCTTCTTTCCGCTAGCACATTCTTGCCTTATAGTTGTTATAAAGTTAGGGGTAGTTGCTGTTTTCCATGAAGTAAAACAGTTGAATTTTCTTGCCTTCAATTGTATGGAGGGGTTGTGCAAGATTTCTCCGCATGGGTTAGTAAAGAAGGGATGTGATGGGAGGCTCAAAAAAAAAAAGAAGAAGAAACTTGGGAGTATGCAGAAAGTCCAAATTAAGGCCGAACCACCATACACTGATTTTACCATTATCTCCAAACTTCAAGTTATTGTGGTCATTTCCATCTAGTTGTGTTCCCAATTAGCTAATCATCTATGAATCTCTTGCCAATGGCAATAATAATCGAATAACATAGAACCAACACACTCGTGAGTAGAATGAAATTGAGGATAGAAATATTTTCATTAAAACCTAACCGCCCCTCCAATGTGTGTTTGTCGTATAGCCATCAAAATAAAGCATCAAGTTTAATTCTGAATATTGGATATCTTGAGCATCTAGACTACATTAAAGCAAACAAGTTAAAAATAAGAAGTATAGGCACAGAATTTAATTCAGAAAAATCGTGTCATTGTTTTGGTCCCAGTTAACAAACATACTTGAATATTCAATTACAAATTGATGTCAAGAGAATAAAAAAATCACATCAAACAATGTCCTGATAAAACGAGAATGACTAGAAAGAATTTTACTAGTACAAATTGGTCAAAGCAAGTTATAATTGCCTGGTTGCAGTTATTCTCTTTGCAAAATTAAAATGGGACAAATTTCTTAGGTGATTGTGTTCTGCGTGTGAAAAGCTACACATGATGTTCCACTAAAGTTCCAGCCCAGCACATTTTAATCAACGCAGTGGGCGTAGAGTGGTTTGATATAGCCTTTATTTGGTTGACAAAAATAATTTTTCAACAACAGTGATCATACTGTCATAAATTGTAAAAATAAAAACGCATAAATATTTATATATGTCTCTGCATGAGCCAATGAAGCTGCTAACAGAGGAAACACCATGAAATCACAGCATTGTTCAAATAAGAAAGAGAAAGATGAGGAACAATTTTCTCTCAAAAGAAATTGTCAAGTAAAAACGGCTATAACAATATTAAACAAATAACTACTCACCATCATAAAATTCATCAGAGGCAATTTCATGAGGCTGCTTATTTTTTATATAAACTCCATTCGGCATCTTCCCATACGAAGGGTTTTCATGAGAACGTTGCAGAACCCCAATATTTTTATCAGGCAATTGGACCAAACAACTGTCTCCATCTGCTTGTTTACTAATTTGGTTTTTAGATGACGCAAATCCATTTTGTGAATCTTCAACTAGATACGAAAGGGACAGCAGAAGATTGTTAAGGACATGCTTTCAAGAAGTACATGCTATTGGATTCTTAAAATTTCAAATAACGAAATGACATGGGAACAAAAAAAAATTTGCCTGTAAAATTATTAAGTCTAACCTTGCTTATATTTTGAAGGGGATTGCTTATCATTCTTGCCCTTTTTTGCATTAGGGTGTGTGGAAGATTTTCCAGTGGATGCGGCTATAGCTACACCATTTAGTTTAACACCACCTGATCTATTTTCACTTTGAATGCTCCAACTAGAAGTTTGCATCTCCTCAACACTAGTTTCATAACTGTTGTTATACTTACTCAACCTATGTACTTGAGGGTATAACAGCTTCTCTTCACAGAAGGTATTAGACATACTAGATTGGGGGTTCTGCTGATCCTTTACTGTAGCCTCAGAACCAAAATCTCCAAACTGTATGCCCTTTAAATAAACTGCAGCAGCATTACCATGCAGCATTGCCCGGCTGTGATCATTAGATGTCAATGTATTGGTGTTTGGAACTAAATCAAGACCAAATGATTCCTGGAAAGTCACTGGATGACTCCCAGAAGAATTCTTTAATTGGTCTGCAAGGTGCTTCTGCTTTGCTTCATATTCTATCCGCCTTTGAAACTCTAGAGTTTCCTCCAACTTTCTTTCTTCTTCCTCAAGTTCCACTTTACGTTTTAGTTCTTCTTCTTCCAAATAATCGCCAGTTGTGGTAGACTCAAAATCAACAAGCTTTCCAGCATTTGAAGCAGTAAACTCCCTACAGAGTGCAACAAAAAAAAGGCAATTTAACTAGCAGCAGAACGCATCGAAAATGAGAGGGAAAGGCTGGGGAAGGCAGGGGAGGAAAAAGACGGGAATACTGTAATGAAACAAGCCATACAGTCAGCATGCATCCCACAGAAATTTAAAGGAAAAAAAATCGAATTTTCAACAAAAAAAAAGAAAGGCTTTACAAGAACAACTGTAAAATTAGAATGTAATTTCTGCTTTATTTAAAAACAATTAAAAAATACAAACAATCCTAAATTAAAATATGGCAGTGTCATAATCAAAAATTAAAAAAAGAAACAATGCAGGGCAATATATAACACCTCAAATTTGATTTTCTTTAAACATGTCAGTATCATAATCACATCAAAACATACGTATGAAAAGGTGTATTCACTTTAGATTAATACTAGTGGTACTTTTCATGTGATGTTAACGATTTGAGTGTTATATAAGTTAAAAATCAAAATATTAGATATGCAAATATACAAGGATTGTGCGGTATGTATGTACATAAATCTGCTAAAATATTTTCAGTTAATGAAGAGAAAAGAAAGAAACAATGTTAGACTCAAAATTGATATTCTAATTGCTCTTAAGCACACATGATCTTATAATTATACAATACCAACACAGTTTCATGCCTCTATTTTGCAATGAATAACACATCTACAAATCTTTAAAAGATGGTATAGAGAGTGTGATTGTAATTATTTAAAATTAAAGATTTTTTTGGGTAACCATCTAGTGGTGATACACTGCAATTATAAAGGAAAAAGTAGATAATGTTTCCTCTTTATTTAATACCTTAGAATATAGCCCTGCCTTCTCTTTCAACCTTCCCAACCTCTCTTTATTCATTCCTAGACAGCTATTATAAAAGAAAAAGTAGATAAAGTTTCCGCTCTATTTCAAAACTGAGAATAAGACCCTGCCTTCTATTTAATCCTTCCCAAACTCTCTTTAGTGATTCCTGCAAAGGAATCAATCAAAGTTTCATTATTGTCATTGGAGTTGTAATAGTCTTCTACACCATCAATATTCTTTATAAAGCCATCATATCATCACCCAAATATTTTCACTCTCTACATGTTGATTGAAATAACTAAAGGAAAGGGATTTCTGAGCTGACCCAACTAGAACAAGCTTATCATCAGTTGAGCATAGCCTCCTCAAATGAGATATGGTAACTCCTTCAGGACTGTTATAATTGGAGGAGAGAGGTGTTAGAAAGAATGGAAATCAAATGGGAGAAAAGTTGGGCCTATTAAACCAAATTTCAAATAAGTTTTCAATACAAAACGTTAGATTTATGGATAAGCGCTAACCACTTGGTATTTAAACAAGGATATGGGAACAAAATTTAGTACTGCCATGTAGCCTAATAAAAAGTTATGTTTATCTTTGTCTGTAGCCAAAGAGTAAGATAGACTAGGAGTCATGCTGCCTTCTTTTACTTCTTGACCTCATTTTTTATGTTGATTCAAGCTAATGTAAACTATTTAAAGTTTCTACATCATCAACAAAGTTGCAGCTAACTTCTTTGCTCAATTGCATCAACTGGTCGAAAGCACAATATTTCTACTTAATCAAGTGCATTTATTATTCAATCGCCCAATAATGAAGCATTGTTGTCATCAAAGTTACTATTGTCTTTTTCACATTATTTCCTCTTAGTTGCAATATCTTATTTTAATCTCAATATTTCTACTCCCAACATGAATAGGTATCACTTAATTGTCAAACTCGTCAAACGATCTTGCTATAGCATTAATATTTTTATCCTCAACTTAGTGATAATAATATTTCTTGCATAGGCCAGCTCATCATATCTTGGGGTGTCTATACCTCTCTAGCAATGTTATTGATCACTTGAAAATATGATAGGTAATGTTTACCTTTTGTTAGTCACTAGTCTGTATTGCTACAGAGCAAGAAATAAAAGGCGTGTTTCCTCCTACTTCTTCCTTCACAACCTCTCTTCATCTATTAAATTTTGCTACAATGAGTCAATCGAATTAATCTGCTTCACTTCTTTTCTTTTTATATCACATTATCCATCACAGAATCAACATATCGACTCTTCATGAGCACTACAATCAATATGTTATCAAACAAATGGTGAAGTGCTATCATTACGTTATTAGACTTGATGTAAAACACTATCATTGTCAATTTGCAAATGCTTAATTCACCTTTTTCCCAATTCCTCACAACATCTTCCCTCAAAAATTCTACTTTTAATGCACTTCTTGCCTTCCTCTTTCGTGTTAACATTTGTTTTACTTTCAAATTTTCTAAAATTCTATTTTGTTTTACATTTGAAGAGCCAACTTTCTAATTAGTTTGATGGGGGAAGATCTTAATGATTAATTGCGTTAAGTAAAAAAACAAATCAATCCATCTCCTTTTCCTTCATTTTCTCTTGCAACCCACACAAGTCCTTCCCAAATTTCTCATTGTTTATTTTATTTACTGATCAAAAGATTAATTATTTGTCAATTAAATTAAAAAAAAGAACAAAATATTTGTTTTTAAATCATTGTAGTATGATTAGCTCCACGCTTAGATTAAATTTTTTTCATGTTGATGCTAGATTAAAAAATCAAGCTCAAGACTGGGTCCCATTCTTGAGAATTGTATTTCTCTTACTGTGTAAACGAACTTTAAGTCTGAATAGTACTCGACAGGAAGCGTCACAGCCTAGGTTTGGGCCACCTTCAATGTCGATGTGCAGTAAGAGTTTTCGAAAGCAACCTATCTAGTTTTCTTTCCAAGGTAGATTCTACTATATCTAATTTAATCCATCATCAACACAATTAACATTATCTAAATTAGTTAGAATAAGAATTATGAAAACTAATTCTCCATTCATTCTAATTCCACGATATTTGGGGTATTAGAATTAACTTGCATTAATTATTTTTGCATAACTAAAATTAAAGTTACCCTTGGTCCGCCCATTTCCCTTTACAAGGTTTCCACACTAATTTTAGTATATTTTTTGTTGGTGCATCTTCCATTTTCTAACATACATGCCAAATCACCTAAGATTTTTATTGTAGCACCATAATAATCTGATTATTTTTATTGTAATATTTGTTATTTCTCTAATTTCACTAGCCTAATCATTTCTCGATATGTCATTTCTAGTTTTGTCATAATTTCAACTAAAAATTCTCAATTTTGCAACACTCAAACTTAGCGATCTATGACCTCTTTATTGCCCAACACCTTATATTCAAAGAATAAAATTAATCTAAAGGCAATTTTATGACAAGCCATGATAATCTCTTAGATCAATAATTGTTAATTTATTTTCATATTTTATAGCTTAGCATTAACTTCCAAAATTATATCCTCATCTAATTCAAGAAAATAGAATCAAGATAATTAAAGAATCAAAACGATTAAAAATATCAAACCTAAGTATCACAAGACATCCAAAGTAATATAAACTCCTAATTATCAATTCACACAATAAAAAATTGCACAATTTGTTCTGCTAATCTTAAATCACATCCTTTAAATAACTTTTCTTTGAAAAATTTTCATTGATTTCGGAAAATCGTTATTTAAATTTTCATTCATAATAGCATAAACTATAAAACATCACTCAACTACAAAATGATGAACTTAATATAATCTCTAAAGTAATCATACTATTATTAATAACTCTATAATCACTCAGCAACTATATATAAATTGTAATTTAAATTAATAATTTATCAGGCATATCATCAATATGTCTTAGTACCTATAATTTTACTTAATTCGCATCAAATTAGTTCTTAAGAAACTCTATCATATAACTTCTCAAGAAAAAATCTTGTCTTCCTCTTTACAACATCATTAATTACAATAAATAAAAACACATTGACTCTCTCACATCGAAAATATATAGCTAAGTTTACAACTATACCACAACTTAATTGTATAACTCATAAATTTTATCACACTATCTATATCATAATCTTAAATATTTCCTTCATCACAACGTGCAAATATCAAAATGCCTTTCTTAAAATCATTTAAATCCCTTAAATCTTGAGAATCTCATCAGAAGAATTTGTTAACGAAACCACCTCAATAACGCTCATACACTTGTAAATTTCAAAAGGCACGCCATCTAAAACAAAAGTTTTTGTTTTTATGAATCTTCTTCATGTCAAGCTCGATTGTTTATAAATTTAGTTCTAATCTCACCAAACAAAAGTTATAGTTCTAATCTAGTTCTATATTTTTATCAATTATTAAAACAACTCTCACCTAACACTATTTTATTAATCAAATTTCAATAATCTCACAAAAATATCATTTCCATCTTTTTTTTATTATTCATTCTTAAAGAAGACTTCTATATTGAAAACAAAAAAAATATAACCCCAGTTAAAGGTAATTATATCAAGGGGAGATGGAAGTACTATTTTGAAAATTTATTAAAATGGAGTTTCAAGAAAAATTCATTTAAAGATAAGCATAATGAACAGCATCATACTGTATTTCACAAGTTCATACAAGAAAAAAGGTTCAATTAGTTTTGAATACTGTGTTAGAAGTACATACTATATTTGAGTTGAGCATCCCGTCTCATGAATTTTTTTATAAAAAATTATAACTAATTGACTTATTTACTTTATATGTATCTGTCTTGATGCATATTTAAAGTAGTGTTGTTATTTAATGTGTTCTATCAAATCTTAATTGGCGTTGATTCAATTAATTTCGAATGACAATTGGAACTAAGCACTGCACCTTAAAGTAGGTGACTCTTGTTAAAAGTTGAATGTACCTTTTAATAAAGCATATCCCTTGGCATTGATTACAAAGTTATTTTTATTCATAAACATCATAAAAGAATGAATATTAAGTTTTCATCTTTTCCTCGATTATAAGTATGTACGAATGTGTGTACGTCCGTATGTATGTATGAAATTACATAGATTTAGCATGCATCACATTGACATTTCATAGTGTACAAGTAGCACT